CATGGACGTCTGACAACATATTTTATTACAAAAGTGATGGATCTTTCCCATTTTGACGTAAGTAACAAACAATAACTCTATACTGGAAGTTTTATATCATTATTACGAGTGTTCAGCAAAAATTTTGAATCAATATGATTAATTCCTCCTGAATATGATTAATTCCTCCTGAAAATAAGTCGAGTTCGCTATTTTCGAACGCCTTCAGAACTGTGTTATACACAAAATTTAGTTAAAATTGACCATTTTATACCACCAAGCGTTTATCCAAAAATCAAAAGCTAAAATTAAGGAAACTTTGAGCCAGTTGTTTATATCAGGTAAGAAGTCCTGTCTTATTAAACCTTAACCAATAATTTTAAACTAAATTTTGTGTATAAAAGGCTCGTTCACACTTGCAATTTTCTTCTGATGCATGTGAACGAGTGGATAAGTTATGAATGTTCTGATGAGGTACATGTACTCCGAACATTTGTAACTCATCGACTTGTTCACATGCATTAGGAGGAAATTTCAGTAGAAATCGCAGCTAAAATTGCAAGTGTAAACGGGCTTTAACACAGTTCTGAAGTATTTCGAAATAATGCTGACGTCAGCACTTTTGTTCTTCAAGATGCTGTAACTCAGGAGGAATTAATCATATTGATTCACAATTTTTGATCAATACTCGTTGTGGGAAATATATTTCAATTTATATACTTCAATAGTATACTTTAATATATTAATGATCCATTGGTGTAAATGTGGTAACTGTGTCCTGGCTCATTGTTGTTTATGTGAACCCTGTAAGGAAAAAATGCTGGAAGAATGCATGCATGACTGCTGCTTAACTGAGCATCCAGCATTTGATATTGGTTGTTTGAAACATTGGGTGTTAAAACTTGCTGGTTTAAGTTACAAAACCTGAATAAAAGTCTGCCAAGTTTTACCACTCTGTATACCAAAAGGAAAGAGTGAACCAGAGTAAGTATTTTAATGTGTAGTTCTAGGCTATACCCCCCACCCCCACCTAGTGGAAGAGATTTAGTTAATTATGAACCATTCCTCTAGATTTTTCTAACTGTCACTGACAGCTTGTTACCCCCACCCCTGTGGAAATTCTGGACAGTTTTTTACTACT